TGAACCTTTGTGATTCATATATGAACTATTTAACTGATTCACATATGAACCTGTGGGTTCATATGTGAATCAGTTAAGTACTTCACATATAAACCCATGGGTTCATATGTGAATAAGTTAAATAGTTCATATGTGAACTAATTAATGGGTTCACATATGAACATATAGTTCATATGTAAATAACACGGGTTCATATGTGAACCCGCTTGCCGCCTATTTGTAATAGTTATAAAACTATCCCTCTATCTTCTGCATAATCATTCGAGGAATTATCTGGTGCTTTCACTGTCAAAGCCGCAAATGTTGACCGGATGAAGAGTTATGATCACTTCTTTACTTCTCAAATACTTACCAATACTCAAATGAACCTTTCCATGTATATATATATAGTGTAGTAACATGCAATCCATGGAACTTTTCAGCTAATTACAAATGACAAGTTTGTGAGTTCACAACACAAGGTGTTGGCAAACAAGGTTGGTCCAAGAGTATCAGTGGCTTCGTTCTTTTCGACAGGCTCAATTCAGACCTCAAAGGTATTTGAACCAATTAAAGAGTTGCTTTTAAAAGACAATCCAGCCAAGTATAGAGCCACAACAGTGAAAGAATATGTAGAATACTACAATAAAAAGGGACTCGATGGCAGATCCGGTCTTCTGCATTACCAAATCTAGTTAGCTTAGGTCAACACTACTTTGAGCAAGATGATGAAGCTCTTATTTTCATGATCATCGCAATGGCGGTGTTATTTAAAAAATGTTTGTTTTGCTTTTTGAGTGATATTTATAAGAATATGCTAAGAACTGTTAAGTTTGTAATATTATTGGTAATACAATTATACAACAAGAACCACATATAGTGACTAAAGTTTTTATTTAAAAGTTAAAAAATTAAAGATAAATTGTGTTTGTGAGATAACTAAATATTTATTATGTTCAAAAAGTTTTAAGGATTAGGTGATTTTAACTTGATTTTACATTTAGCATTTTTTGAATTTCAAAACAATTAGATAATCTTATATTATTTATCAATTTGATTGTGTAGGTCATAGTATAAAAAAAGAATGGTAAATATCTGGTTGAAATTTTGTATACAGAACATAAAAAAAAAAAAAAAAAAGTTTTGATTGAAAATGGTTTAAAGTTCTCTCTATTTTCTATTATAACTTTTGAATCTACATTTTATGCACCTTGTGAAATGTTATAACCGGGTTGTTTTTATATTGGTTTGGAAATTGAGGGTGGTTTATGGTTAAATGTGAAAAGTTGAGTGATGTATTTTGAATATTTGGTTTAAACATTTTAAAAAACTTCCACCGCCTCTTTGTAAATATGTATAACATATTATAACATCGACTGAGATAAAAAATAAAATAAAATATTAAAATCACGATATATCTCGCTGCATTGCGCGAGTACGCTTCTAGTATATATATATATATATATATATATATGTGTGTGTGTGTGTGTTTTATTTTATTTTCTTCGTTTTGGGATATTTGGGAGGGAAGAAGAAGAAGAAAGATTCACGTATTCAATACTCAAATTTGTTGCCAGTTAGAAGTTACCATCTAGTTGTGATCAAGGTGAGTTTTTCTTCAAAAATTAAATCCAAAATGCTTTGTTAAGAAATAAGTTGGGTTATGGTTTTAGTTTGTTCTTGGTATGTTAAATTGTTATTTGTTGGCATACTTGGATTTGAGATTGTATTTATAAATTGTGGGGATGATACCGGTTTATTGAAATATCGGCAGGAGAGTGTAAATGAATTGTGGGTGACATAATCGACATGAGAGGTGTATTTTGATGTGGGTGGCATAATCTGGAGAGGCATAAAAGATTGTGGATGGCATACTCAATGGTTTAGTTTAAAGGAGAAATTTGATCACTTGAATTTGATGCGATAAAGATGATTTTTTCGCATTTGCTTGATGCGATGAGTTGGTTTGTCGCATCTGCTTGACGCGATGAGTTGGCTCTTCGCATCTGCTTGATACAATGAGTTGAGGTTGTCACATCTGCTTGATATGATGAGTTGGGTTGTCGCATCTGCTTGATGCGATGAGTTGAGGTTGTCACATCCTTGTGGTGCAGTAAGTTTGGATTGTCACATCCTTGTGGTACAACAAATTTATGTCTTGTGCGATAAGTGGGGTTGTCGTGCCCTTGTGGTGCGATAAATATGTAATAATCGCACAGTATGGTGTGCGACAACTATTGTTCCTATGTTGACTTCTTAAGTTTGACTTTCCAAAATTCTTTTGGTGATTTTCACCATATCAAGCTAATGGGGAATTACTCAATAGACCTTATGGTCTAATTTTCTCTAACCAAAACTTCTCCCTCGTCTAGAATCAAAGGTTCTAATACGAGGATATCAAAAGTCCTCCCTTATCCCAAACCAACAATATCATGCAGAGAACCTCAAAACTCCTCTCTTGATGATGCAACAATTGTGCATATGGACCCAATGCGATGAGACATAAATTATGCCAGGAATATAGGTAAACATATAAAAATTTTCACTTGGGTCCATTAAATATCCAACCATAAAAAACGAGGATAACTATCATATCAAGCTCAAATTGATGAATAAATACTTCATAACCATAAATATGTATGAATCTAGATCTATAATATTAGAAGCTCATATGGTCTAACTCATATACTATAAGTTAGCCATTTTCCAAAAATGCATACCTTTGAGTTAATCAACCATTTAAAATCCATAAAAATAAACCTAGCCTGCAGCCAGTGCACCCACCTACCCTTTTATTACACAACACCTCTCAAGCATCTCATTACCTACACGAGTAAACAGCGGCAAATGCCACTTCCAAGCGGTTTTAACCGCACATGAGGTGTCTTCCAAAATTCCAAGAATACAATTGGTCAAGTCAACTTTACAAGTCAAAAGGGATCTAATAGGATTAACTAAAAAAATTATAAATAGATTAAAGAAAGGTTCAATGGTAACTAGTTAAGTACTTACTATAAAGATATAGGCTTACTTCATTGTCATTTTCCTCAATAGTTGGAACATTTTCTCCACTAGATTGTGGAGATCCATCCATCAGTTGGGGTTGAGTTCTCAATAGAGTGAGAATCCAACCACTGGTTAAGCTCAAGATCATCATAAAGAAATGATGATGTTGTAGGCACTAAACCTGATTTATTCAATGTGATATCATCTAAACACTGATGACGTAAATCATATAGGATCGAACATTTTTAGCAAATCAAGATCATTGAGAATATAACATGCACATCCAAACTCATGAGGAAAACCGATATTTGGTTTTTCATCATGGAACATACAGTTTTACATAGTATAATACCTCGTATTTAAAAAATCTAATATTATAGCCGAAAGCCCAATTATGTTCAATTTTTGAAATCGTGCTTTGTTGACTTGTATCTTAGTATTCAAGAGTTGTTCATTAAGGCAAGTTCTTTTTATATTTTTTTTTGAGTTCCATTGTTGGTTGAAACAATCTTAGTTAGGACCAAATTGTAAAGGAATTGCTAAAGTAGGGTTAATTTGAGAATAAGTTTAAGATCAAGGGTTAGATGGTAAATATTATAATTATATATATAAATTATTATTTTTTAAATCCAAAATCAGATTTCTCTTAAGGTTCATTTGGTTTTCTCCTCATTCTCTCTAGAAATCCTAAAATTCAACTATAAATCTCAAATCTCTTAAGGAATTCTAAGATCTTTGAAGATTGTAGGTTATATTTGGAATTAGGACTCAAAGTAAGGTATGTTTATGGTTTTATTTTTTTATGATTTCTTCTTCTTTGGGGAAAATGGGATAAACCTTAAGTGTATTCATGAACATAGGTGAAAGATTGATGATTTGAGGTGGAATTTCTTCAAGATTGGTGTTGTTGGAAGTGACAGATTCAATTCAGTAAATTTGAAAATTCGTATAAAATCAACCATTTGTCCAAGAGATGTTATTTATATGAACAGAAAGATCTATGAGTGTACTACAACTTTGTAGTTTACACCAAAACCTAGTTCTGAATTTAAGCAACTCGAAAACATTGGTTTACTAGACCTGTTCTGCAGTTTCGAAATTTCACTCTGTTAGTGTAAATTCTGTAGTAATTATACTAGAGCTCCAAATTATGTGAATCTAGTTTCTTTGAAATTTTAAGAGATATATAGGCAACTTTTATTTTTACATGAAAGTTCGGTTTATCTTCTAAGTATGAGAAAAAGGCTTAAACTTTAGGTGTTAAGAATCTGTTAGCTACTGTTTTAATATGTAAAGATTGGAGTTTTACAAATTTTGTTTAGGGTTCTATTAATTGTATTGAGTGTGTATTAAGTGTCCTAAGGGTATTTTAAGAACATTTGAAGGTCCGTAGGATCTTTTTAACTATAAGCGCTTGTAGGAACTTGAAATTGATAAGAATTGTTACCGAAAGTCGTCTAAAAGTATTTTTTTCTAACAAGTGTAGGTAACATGGAAGGAGATAACCGTTCATAAGCCTCAAGTCTCTTGCGACTATTTCTAACACTTCCAAGGTACGAATATCTACATTCTTTCAATACGTGGGTAATCAAATGTAGTGATTATCCATTCCGCGAAATCTTGATCATGGTATTCATCCACAAAAGTGGAGGTTATCAAGATGTTATCCGAAATCTTTTGTGTTTATGATATGTCTTGTTTAAAAGACTTGTATGCTTGAGACTTCAATCCGTTAACGGTGTATTCTATGATTCTTGCCGATAAATTAAGTTGAAAGTTTCATGGTTTTATTATTCTAGTTATCCCATGTTAAATTATTGATACGATTAAGGAGTTTGAGTTTAAGGTTATTGAATTTAGTTATGACTAGGCTTAGCACTTGGGGCACAGGTATTGAGACGCCTCCATGATGGCTAAAATAGTCATGGCATTCTTATAAGGGTTATGGCCAAGCCAAATAGAGAATGTTGGATGCATCCTTGAACCGAATACCATGTACCATGGTTACCGGATAGAGCCGAATACCAATTACATTGGTTACCGGATAAAACTTCTGGTTACCGGGGAATGAGATGGTGTGGTGCCCAACACTTCCATTCTATTACGATGCCTGATTGGACTGATCATCCATCGGGAACAACGTATCCTAATGATACGGATGACCTTCTTACCTTGATTTTTATTTATTTGTTATATAAGCTTCAATTTTAGATATTTACACTTAAATGCATTTCAACTTTTATCGTAACGTTTTCTCGCATTTACTATTTTATCTTGTATTTATAATGTTATTATTCGTTCACTGGGCAAATTTTTGCTCACCCGAGGTTTGTTTTGTTTTACCTCGGCAGTTCAAGATCTAACCCGGGGGCAACATGAACGCTCGAGATGGCTTAGGATGCAAAAAGAATAGTTTTAGATCGGTACTTTTGCTATGTAAATATGTTACGCATATGAATACTATTTGGTTGTAATGTAATCTTTTGGGAGTTATGTTAAAGCTCTATACTTTGATCTACATGTTTTTGATCCGTTTTCAGTTGTGTCACACCTCATCTTAGGTCTAGTAGGATGGAGATGTTACATATAGTGTCGATTTCTCTTTGCTAAAACTCCTTTTTACTACGGAGTCCGAAATGAGGTTGACGTCAATGCCTGATGACTCAAATAAGAAATAAGAATAGTATATTGGCTTTCTCCAAGTTTATAGAGAAACTTCAGTCACACATATGACTGAGGCTTAGCAGATTATGCATCAGGCCAACTAGATAGACTACTTAGTTGAAAGCAACATAGTCATTATAGAGTACACCAATTTCTTTGGTAAGACCTTGGCAAAGACACTAAAGTTTTATTGAAGGAAGAGATTAGGA